TATAATTTTTCTAGTACGGATAGTTCTCGTATTTTCCACAGCTCTACAAAGGCGCCACTAACCTAGAAGAGTTGGTATTTTTCCTCGGACTACGTCGTGATACACTTTTCTAGCTTTATACTTGCTCGTATAGGTGCAAGTACAAAATCTTTCCACTTTGCATATTGCTGCGTGCGTACCATATGGATACGCACGAAAGTCCGTTCTTCTTCTGTTATTCACGGAGTAGCTGCGGAGCAAGGATATTGGTGTGGGTGAGCGACTCGACGCGGCGGCGGCATCTCGTGCATAATGCAGCACAACCAACGAGTTCACAGCCGCAGCAAATGTTGGACGCTAATACATCTTGATGATAGATAGCGAGTATGCTTTCGGTCTTCGCAATGAAGTTGGTAATGTATATCAAGATTCTAGACGAGATGGAAGGAGATGCAGTCAAAGTTTCCGGAAAAAGAGCCGAATGATTAGAACATAGGATAAGAACTCGAGGACAGCGTAATATATTGCTTGTGCTGACATATACCGCGGTTCTTTCTCTCATATTCGCGTACATGTTCGCGTATCTAGTATTTTTGGATACTTTTTCATTTCTTGCAAAGATATACTGCAGTTATTAATCTGATCGTTGTTAATTTGAGAAAATTTAAACATTAACGAAAAAAAATAGTAAAATAACAACGGTAAATATTTGAAGATATTTAGTGGCATCTACGTTGCAAAAACATTGAGATATTAAAAATATGAACGAGTACGAAACTAAAGAGTCGCCAAGATAAAATTAGAGAGAGAGAGAGAGAGAACGAGACGAAGTAATGCAGAAGTGAAAAGAGTAGAGAAATAGTATAAAAAGAAAAAAAAAGAAAAAGGTAGATATAGCGTTCAGAAAAGAAGAGGGTAGCTGCGAGAGACGGTCTTATAGAGCGAGCGAGAAAGAGAGAGCGAGAGATCTGTATGTCAGGGGTTGGTTGCGCGATTCGCGATGCCGAGCACGTCGTCGTCAGACGAACGTACGTGCGACACGACTACGCTTTTACACTGCCACTACCGAACCTCTTTCTCATTCTAGCTTCCGCCCAAGCTTTTTTCCGATTTCGAGGAAAGACTACTTTTATCTTCCTCTCTTTTGTTGCTGCTGCCTTTGCGAAGTAAAAAAATTCACATTTTCCAATGATGCAGTATTTTCTTTTTCTTTTTTTTTGTACTACATTTATAAATATTTACATCGACAAAATTACTCTTGCATGTTTGCTTGTTATTCACTTGAAATTATAAATATTTAAAAAAATAAATAAGTAAATAAATATCTGATACATTGTGTAAATGAAGCATAATTTGAAAAAGTAATTTTTCACTCTAAACTCTAAACGAGTAATACTAACAAATTTTTTATTTTAATAAAACTTGAATATAAAATTGAAATTTATTTCGGATTCCAAGAAATTTGTCCTCATGTTTTTCTCTTAAAAGTTTTCAATATTGATAATTTTATGTTAAACTTAAATAGGCAACGTAGAAACCTTAAAATCAATAACGAAATGTTACCGATGGTAGGTACTGAGAGGATTGTTTGCTTCTCAGCGTGCATTTGTATCTTCAGTAAATATGAAAGGATGACTTACCAGGGGTCAAAAGAATGCTTAAAAGCACATTTTAACTTTTCAACACTATGAAAAAAAAATTTGTATATCATCTTATTACGTTTTTAATCGTAACTATAAAATGAAATTACTATAAAAATATAAATGAAAAATTAAAATATATTATTTCATTAATTGTAATTTCATTTTGGATTTGGAAAAATGTATTATATATAAATTAAAATGAGTTAAGAATGCAATTGAAATTAGGTAAAAACAAACAATAAATGATTTTTGAAAAGTATTTATTACGTATTTCTTGAAAATTTGCCAAAAATACAAGTGGTAAATGTATGATTATGTGATTTTTTTTTAAAAATCATTACTATAGTTTAGTGTTAGTAAGCATACATATAATAATTATGAGAATGGCACAACTTACAATGTGTCTATGAAAATAAGCGCTGCATTCTAAATGAGCTAACATTAACGATGCAATAATTATGAGAGTAAACTTTATAAAACACAAACATTTTGAGATTGATATGAAGGATAAGAGTAAGTGAATGCAGATATAAAGGAGTAAATGTAAAATTGGTGCTTAACAAGAAAAAACACCTTAAATAGAAATAGTTAGTACAGCTATATAAAAACGCATGATTTATATGCATTCTTACATTATTTTAATTGATAAAAAGCGCATCAATAGAATATTCGCGCAACTAATCCGTCCACTGGTGTTCTGATTCTTATAAAACCCTTTTCGAGGCTTCACTTAACAGGAGAACGTTAAATTGATGTAAATTATAATCAATCATTCATTTTCCGTCATACTAACGCCCCAATTCCATCCAAGCAAAAATCATGTCAAGAATCTGATCATTTGCTCAACAAAGTCACGTTTGATGTTGATACAGCTTTGTGTATATTTATATACTTAATCGTCAAGTACAACTGGAACATTGTATCATGACCAACTTTTTCAAGGCAGTTTTGGCAGTCAAAAAGTGTTTTCATTGGCTGTTGAACCAAAAGTATACAAATCTCAAAAACTATCAATAAATGATTATTATTCTCTTTCTGTCCATTTCATAAACACTCAAGATTTCACGTTTTAAAAGATTTAATAAATCTAGAAATTACTTCAATTTCTCAAATGCCCGAGGAGCATTTTCTAAAAATGCTGTTGATATTTCCAAGGCCACAAATGTCAAGAAATACTCATCAAAATATAATTTTCATAATTGATAGTCGCATTTTTTTGTAAGCTATGTGATTTTTCACTCTTAACAATACGATTATACAATATTTAAATTTACAAAATTTCAGACGTCAAGCTGTATAAGTTGGCAATTAATCGATGGATCATTCGTATTTACAATAAAATACACATCGAATATCATTATTAAATCTAACACTTTTGTTTTGCAAAAATCGATACAATCTCTACCATTAGTTTTAGCGCTAACTCTGTTGGTGCATACGTCCAACTTTTTCTTTCTTTTATTTCACTTTTCTCTTTTATATTTGAATATGAAGATAAGATTGCTAAAACGAGCAAAATAATATTGGGTAAAATGTATAAGAATTAAAAGAAACTTACAATTGAGCATGCTATGTTACATGAAATATATGCACAACCATGCAAAATCATGGCACATTGCGATAGTGTTCAATGACAAAGCATTGCTTGTTTTTGCTATTTTGTCCTTCAATAATTACGTATATTTCTTGGTATACTCGGAACACTCTTAAACATGAATAGCTAATATTTTTAACAAAGACAATAAAAAAACGGACAATGTAAAAATATAAGTCATCCATGTTTTTGAAGTCTGAACTGCTTTAAATAAAAATAACGAATAAAAATATTTGAAAGCATTCTCTCAAATGATATACCATTTCATGCAAAAGGTTCTCATATTTCATATTATAAAGATTTTATAATAAATATAACTATTTAATAATTCTAATTATTTTCAGGTACTTTACACACACAATATCGTTTAATAAATGATGCGATTATTGCGCTTTACAGTATGTAACAAATGAACATAAAAATTATAACTTTCAGAGCTTTTAACTTTTTTTTAAGGTTGATTATTAATTGTTTATTGAACATATTTTCAATATTAGCAAAATTCAATTATAAAAAATTACCTGAAACGGAAGCATTGCTATTTTGGATAACTTTAATAATCCTCTCGAAAAAAGTTTGAAGAAACTGAATAACATTAAATTCGATATAGTTTAGTAGTTAGATCGAAATTATAAATTCACTAACTTTAAATTATGTACATAAGCAACAAATTTCACAAAATAAATATATTGAACAATATATTTTTATGTTAATACATACAAATTCAACCTGGCTTGATAGTAAAAATGTATGTTTTTTCAAAATGAATACTATCTAAAAATCTGTAAAAATGTAAGTACTTTACTTTGATACTTGATATTCGTTTTCAAACGAATAATTACGTATTTTGTGCATTCGCTTCGTCGACATTCATTTTTTAAAGTAATTTATTTACACGGTCTAAAAATTTCAAATAAATTTTATAGTCGTTTGAACTGAGAACAGATTGTCGTCGTGGCGATAATGTCGAATTTTAACGTACTACTATATTACTACATCAAGCTGCTGTCTTGAAATATCATTGCAAATATATTTCATTTGAAATCAATTGACAGTCTAACAGATCATAATGATATTTATTGTATAAAAAATTATTATCATCAACGATCGAATTTTTAAAACTATTTACAATATATGTTTACACGGTAAACGAGTTTGGAATTTACATTTTATGACATGCATTAAATACAAGATAACTGCAACTCTTAAAAAAAATTCATCGAGTTACCAAATTGATCTTACTATGCTACATTTCAGCTGCGCTAATTAGCTCTATGAAAACTATAAAAACAGCATCGCGGAGGCATTTTGATACTTGACTAGTCGGTAGTTTTGGAACTAATTAAATAGTTATTACGCGCTAAATTTCTATGGCAAAAATTTTTACATCACCAATAGGAAAAATATTGTGAATTGAAAAATTCAAATGACCTAGTTCATTTTTAGTTCTGCGATGCAAATGTGAAACAAATTTTTTGGTTAAGATATGCAGTTAGCATTTTGAATATTTAGATTTATATCTAAAATAAAGTCTTTGTACATCATATTTTTCGAAATTGTAAAAGGATTTTTTAACACTGCGTGCGCGAAACACGGGTTTTCTAACCTTAAAGCGACGGAAAACCCTAGTTTCTCGCAAGCAGAGTTAAAAAATATCGTTTGCAACTAGTCCGCGAGGAAGTTGACTCACCCAGGAGTCTTTGCACCCTCGCTACGCTCGGGTGAAAACAACTCCTGGATGAGTCAACTGCTTCGCGCACTTGTTACAAAATATACTATTTCATAAAATGTTTTCTTTTTCACTTCTATATGTGAATAACACTCAACTTTTTAGTTACAGCAAAAGCTTAAACTTCAAGCAGTGCTAATTTTCACTTAAAAATTTTTGAAGGCACGTCGCTGTCAGCGCTATTCGTGGAAAGTCTTTGATTAGAATTGGCACGGGTCCTTAGGCTCATGAGTCAGAAATTATATTTTATATAGCCCTAAAGTTCTTCAATAAATGACCCTGATTCATACATTTTTTATGACACAAAAATATATGATGCACATAAAAAATGCGCTCGTTTGATAACATTAATACAAATCCAGTCTATGCAACGAATTAAACAATTATCTACACGTTATCTAAAACATAAAAGTCAACAACGATTCACTATATCAATTTCGTAATTGACACGTATTAACCTGAAGATATTCTTTCTACGAATCAAACTTTTAGAGCATAACAAAAAAGCCAAAACAAGCGAAATTTTGTTGAAAAAATATAATACAATCATTGTCTTCTTGCTTTCCAATAGCTCTTTTAGCTGGATGTCTTGGTACTGTTCCCAATTGAGAATTTACCAGTCTTTCGGTGGTGTCAACTTACTTAGACAGGCGGCGGTCCATGCAAATAACGCAGTTGCGGTGTCAACGAAAGGTTGAGTGTGTTACCGGCTTCGCAGCAGTGAGGTTCCAAAAGACACGCTGCACAAAAGAGAACGACCAGTGCTAATTGAAAAGGAAGAGCTGCCCGAAGTACTCGCCAAACCCAGCTACGTGGCTCGTCTGGGTCATTGTCGGGGTCGTCCATTCCAAGAAATTCAGTCAAAGGAAAATTTGCAACGCATGCTTTGTCATTAGTGCAAATTGTATCGATCCACATTGACTTGTCACGTTTGCTAAATTGTTAAAAATTAAAATGCATGGGTGGTTAAGAATAGTTTAGAAGCTTTATGAAAATGTCAGATGACTTACCTCGGAACGAGTAATCGTTCAGTATCTACAACTTTAGAGCTCTTTTTGGATTCCACACTGGCTGCGGTTCGCACGATGAGTTCACGGCACTGCTTTTGTAAATTGCGAAGCTCGGCCTCGGCTTCCTCAACCCGGCGCCACAACTCTCCCAGGACATCATCGCAAGATTCCGGTTGAAGCTGTGACTCGAGACTGCGAGTGAGCCTTCGCAGAGCTGCGAGGCGACGCTCGCGTTCACTGAGTTCTTGCTCACTGCCACTGTCGCTGATACCACTGTCTGACAAAGAGCCACCCTCAAATGGAGAACAGGTTGTATGCGAAGCATCGCTGAACGAAATCTGTTTTACATTCAATGTTCCGCTTTCAATGTTTTCTAATGTCGGAGTTAACGGCGAGTCTAGAGTAACACCATTCTGTTGGGAAATTGAAGTATCGTTCATAAATAAAATATATATGTTACGTATAAAGTGTATTATTGAGCAGATAATAATATTATGGGTTAAAATTAAGCCCCCCCCACCCCCCGCATATACAATCATTTTGTGTATGAGAAAAAAAAAATCAGAAAAATGCAGCATATAAGTATTACTCACTTCATCTCTGGCCTCATGCTTTTCTGACAGCAATCGAGCAACATCTCTTACTGAAGTTGCCACTTCCATCGTTGCTCCAGCTTGAAGGGCTGCGTCTAAAACTGCCAATGTGTCTTTATCTCTTCGTAAGGCACATTGAAGTTCTGCAAGTCTAGCCTCAAACTGATGAACTACTTGTAGTTTACAGAGCTGCTGGTTTCCTCTGAAAATTGAGTTTTAGTTTGAATTTTGTTGATGAGGTTGAATAGATGTTTAATATTTTTACGACTGATATGGAAAATGAAATTACTCACTTTTGAAAAGCTTCATCCCAGAGTCTATAAAGATCTGCCACACCGTCCTTCAAAGCAGTGAGTGTGGGCGAAGTCTTCTGGCCGAGATCCGTGATTAACCGATGTGTCGAAACGTTGAGCGCCAGCATAGCCGCTTTGCTATCTCTCAAATTAGCTAGCTCACCCTGTAATGGCCAGTGAGATGTGTATAAATACTCGTGCCAATGAACTGTTTTTTTGTTATTGTTGTCGTTCGCACCCGATCGGGAACTCAACAGCCTACATAACTTGCAGGTTTTTATGCACTCAAACTGTGACCAGAACTTATAATTGACTTTGTATTGATAGACAACTGCTTTTTAATTAATAATGAGTAGATGATGAAAATAATTGATTTTGAATGCTTTTTCATAAAATTAATTAAATCGGCGTAATATATTTTTTTTTTCAGTTGCTGATCGTTACAAACACGGGACCGAAACAAACCAACTTTTAAGTAAGTCAATTTTTGAAGAACGTAGAACTATTTTTTGATTTAAGTATTTGATTTTTTAAAATACTTAGTCTGCAACTACTCAGTAACTTTCACTGACTAATCGCGATATTTTTATTATGATATTGACTTGCTCTTATCGCGCAAATATAGTCACGCTAAATCAGTTCCAAATATTAAAGTTCTGAAATCTAGTTGAAACGATGAATCTGAAACGTACAATATTTCCATGCCCTTGAAATTATTTAGCACATGGCATGAAACCGGTTATCTTGAGTATATCAGCCTTTTGGTACCGCGACAAGTTTTACTGACAAAAACACGTGAGATACATTAAACTTAAAAACAACACCGCATAAAGTAATGTTTTTAATTTCGAAGCCTAACTTAAATTTTTTACGAATAAGTTATTTATATGGGTGTAGCAGCTCTCGCGGCAAAGAACAAGATTCACTTGTTTAATGAATAGACTAGTTGCACGAGGCATTTGTCGGATATAGCACGGCAAAAAGTTACTGCAAAGTACTGACGATTATGTTCCCTGGTGGTCTTTTTAATGTAAATTTAATGTGTTAGTCCTTGTTTATTTCCAATCGTCATTTGTAAAGAGGTAAGATATTTTTTTTATATGACAGTGCTATCTTAATTAAAAATATTTTTCCAAAAATGAACTATTATTACTTAGAAATAAAAAATGTAATATTTTAAAGTTACTCACGTTAATTTTATTGATTTGATCTTCAATGAGCTGTGGCTCTTTTAAAACTACTTTGTACGACGTAAATCTTTCGTAGGCTGCGCAAAACTCGAGCTTCATTGCTGCCATTTCACGGTGAATTGCGTTGATCTTTTGAGTTTCCTCTGCTCTAAGGGAGAGGGAGTCCCATCTTTCCATCAAGCCTAAAAATAAGAAGGTCAATTTGAACGTCTTAATACTATTTAACTTGGCGAAAGTATTTGTTAGTAAAAACAAATGAATGATGTTCCAGTGAATTAGAAATAAATGAGCGTGAAATTGCATGAAAGGTATAAACGGCTGATATTTAGAGTACATATACAAGGAACACTATAGATCTAGTAAAACTTTCTTTCTTTTTAATTGGACATGTAACGTGAAATTAAGTATTTATTCTCACGTACTTTCTTTTTGCTCTAAAAAATAAATAACATTTCAGTCAAGTATGATAATGTAATTTTTTTATAGATCAAACGTTTTATTTGCAAATATTCAACTTTTGCTCATATTGACATGCAGGTCCTCAAAAACTTCATATCTCTTATATATGCGTAATGTATGTATATAAAATGTGCAGGTAAAGTGAAAAGAACAATACAATTCGGTTTTGAAATATTTAAGAGAATTATATTATAATTTCACCGTAATTTTTCATCACACAGCGCCAAATTTAAATATTGTTTTTTCTAATAAGTATTGGGATAGTAATTCAAGATGAATATGGGATATTTTGACAAAAAATTTTATTTCAATTTTTTAATTTCATTGTAAAAATATGAAAACCCAATAAAAGAAATGAGTAATTACTTAAAGATGGTGTTTTCGCTTTCATCGAGCTTGAAAAGATTTTGAATTTTTTAATGACAGTGATACTATTGAAGGATGACGAACAGGTGATGCGATGTACAGGTAAAATTATTGCTCACATGATGTCATGTCTAAAAATGATTCGGACTTAATATCCACAATCGACACGGTGGGTAAGTTTGTTAGTTCACATTGAAATCCTAATACAGGAACGAAAGAAGGACTGGTTTTCTTGCTCCGGTAATTGAACAAGATAATTTATTTTATAACTGTAGTTAAATTACACCCACATTTTATACTTCCGAAACACCTAGTATAGTTTTATTTTTTTCAAGCTTTTTACGAAACAATTATCAAGTGACTGATTAAAGATTTTATCTTACGCATGGGGAAATAAATTCATTTAAAGACAAAGTAAAAAAAAATTTAAATATTGCAATACTGTTACTTGTGCAATTTGAAGATGCTAATTCAGAGTTGTCTAGTTTAGTTTATGTACTAGTCTGTTTTTGAACTGCTCAGAAAAGCATCCCGCGTAAAGTCGCTTTCGCATATACCGCTATAATTACACGCAATGTCTTTTGCATGTTCCTTAAATATATGTTGCATTAAATTTCTCCACATACCATAAATACTTTATGGTTTAAGTTTTCGAACTATCTTAGTACGAGAAAAAAAAATTTGAATTAAAAAAAAATTTAAATTTGCAATATATAGACTTCTAGAGTGATTCAAGTAAAAATTTCAATTTATAATAGTAAATAACTTATAAATATTAATATGAATTTGATTCAACGCATGTTTGAATATTTTTGACTAAATTGATCAAATACTTCAAAATTAATGAATATACTAAAACGGTTTCTGATTAATTTTCCGATCGTATATATTCTTTTATATACTTCGTTTTTTCTAATTTTTTTTTATATTACTCCATAGATATTTTACTCTTTACTCTTCTATTATTCAAATACTTATTTTATGTTACAACAAATATGCGCCGAGGCAAGTACATACGCGTATCAGTAGTAGGGGAAAGGTTTAAGAAACCTGATTCAACAGACATTTTTGTGCACTTTAAGTTAATATGAACTAATTCACACGTTAAACATTTTTATGAAATTCACTGATAAAAACATCAAAAGCCACTATCGTTCTTGAAAAATATGATGTATCAACAAACATATAATATGAGCAAGAAAGAGCTCTCTGAAACGTTACCTCGCCGACGAGGCCACGATCCGACTGGCGTTGGCGTGAAAGCTGCGACGCTACAGCCAACCAGTATTGAGTATATACATAGATATATAAGGCGTGTAATTTTCCCTACCAACCACGAAGTTACCGGCTTCGTGAAGCTCTTTAATCGTCCTTTAACGTACACATGAATTCGTCTATTTTATCGAAAGTTTTATTTATAGCCAATAGTTTAAAGATCTTAAAGTATACCTATTTTATTGAAAAGATAACATCAATTATATCGAGTTTTAGATCGCTTGTTGATTATTTAGGAATTAATCATTTTTAAACGAAAAAAAATAAAATAAAATAAACGAACGGTCAGTAACCTGCATGCTTAATGCATTTGAAGCAAAATCATTGTTTAACAAATACATGAGCTTAAAAATCTCTTAGTAAAATTGTTATTTTTTATTATACTTTAAGGATATTCATGTATATTATTTATCAATAAATAACCGAGATTTTATATTCTATCACTGGATTTAATTTTGTAATATAGAGCAATCATCAAGTTTTTAAAAATTTTTATTCATGCGCACAATGTATTTTGAGAAAATCGGATTCAGATAAAGGTAATAATTAAAAAAAAAAAATTCTGAATCGGCATTAGTTTCAATTCTCTTATTTGCCATAGAGTTATTTAGAATTCGATAAAAGTTTCATCAAATGGGTTTGAACATTATCATCTTTACTCTGGACTTCTTACCTAAAACTAAAATTTTCGTTTCGGAAAGAAGCTATGCATTATTTTTAAAACTTACCATATCCATTAGTGAAATAATAGAGGCGTACCATGATTGATAGTGATAGCAAATGATATAAATTCTTGTAAAAGTGAATGATACAAGTAAAAACAACGAATTAAGCGTGAGTAAAACTTGGAGAGTGATGTTAACATAAATTTATTGAAAAACATTTATAATAAAAATGAGCCTTTTATTAAGTAATAAACAAATGAAATTAATGATGATAATCTACGCATTACGAAAAACCAATTGCAGTGAACTTTTTCCATGCACCTTTTGTTTTATCGTTTCTATGGTTTCTACGTTTTTGCGAGTTAATAAATATGTTAATTACAAAATAGAAACATTTTTTAAGATAAATATCATTTTAATTGGTTTTTTATAATGCTTTCGACCAATGCAAATATTTTTTGATCTTTCGTTAATAAGTACTATTTTTTAGGAAAGTTTATGTTACTTAACATACTACAATTACTACATAAATAGAAAATTAAGATACATAGGAATTAAATTTACAATACAATTAAGTAGTATTTAAAAATTACGTCAATTATGTTCTACTGACTTTAGAAGCATAAAAATTCAAACATTTTAATGAACTAAAAAAAGAAAATAAGCAAGCCCACTAACAGCGGTGAATAATAAGTAAGCGATGACGTAAGAGATAGACGTTGTTATCAGAGAGACTTTGTGATCATCCACCGTCACCACATTGTACTCACCACGTATTTGCTTGCTGTGCTTGGCATTATGACGGGAAATATTGCTTGTCTCGGAAATAGCCTTCAAACACCTGATGTTTTCCCGGCAAACTCTCGTTAGTTCAGTCTTTAACAAATTGTAGAATAATTAATAAAATAGTTTTTTATACAATTTTTACAATAGTATAAGCAATCATTATTAAAAACAGAAGTTTCGATCGATGAACGATCAAAAAAAATTCCTTTAATTTTATCTGGATTTCATATTTCAAGTAGTAATTATAAACCTGAATAATTGCTTGGAATTTTTTCGAAGGAACTATATTTTTTCACAACGAATTGAATAATTTTACCGTTTTTAATGTTCTAATAAATTTAATTTGAAAAAAATTGATGAGAATTATTAGAATACTTACAAAACCGCTGTCAGCTAGAGTTCCATAACGGGCTTCTGAAATCAATAATTGAGTTTGAGAATTTTGAGTTAAACGTTTGAATTCCATGTCGCTATCGCTGTCCTCCTGAAAATATTAAAAAAATCACTCGTTAATTTTATTCGATTAATATTCTTTTTTCAAGTCAGATTTTTTCATCAGGCTTACATTATGAACACCTAGACTAGAAGCACAATCAGATTGACTGTCCAAAAAATTTCTGTAATCATCTCCAAAATCGAGAAGACGTCGCGCAGTCTCAACATCAGTGGCTTCGCTATACGCCTCGCTCATATATTTTTCCTAATGAAAAATTGTTAATTATTCATTGATACTTTTTAACTATATGAAATCACAAAAAATTTGAGCATTTATTGACCTTCTAAAAGATCCAAAAATTGGCATGCACAACGTAAACAAAATGATGTTAAAAATAGCATTTAGAGGATTTATAATTTTTAAGATGCACTAACTCACCTGATAATTGTCCCAAGCTTGCTCACCCAAAGAATTAGCGCCCAAGCTGTTCTTTTCTAAATCACTGTCAGCCTCCACTCCGTATTGTGTAGCTCTCTTTTTCTTGATCGTAAGTACGGTATCCTCGCAAGTGGCATGGAGCCGTTCATTCCTTGCCATTCGCACACAAGCTGTAGCGGTCTTATCTCCCTCGTCGATATCAGACTCGCTCGAAACTGAAGCTGCTGTATGTAGAAAACCGAACTTCATTGTTGGGTTACTCTTCGTTTGAATAGTTTCGGCTTGAGGCTCGTTTTCGACATTGTATCCAGAAAATGAGTCCGACTTCGAGACCAAAGCTCGCGAGGAACGATTCTGTCGACCTCCCATGGATTTTCTTAAGCTCCTGATTATCGATGGATTATTGTTTCCAGAACTCACGTCATCACTGTTTTCTGACCGGGTATTATGAGTGGTCAAAACATCTGATCCTGACTCACTTTTACGGTTCTGCAATTTTTTATGTTATTTAGTACATAAAACAATGTAAGGCTGCTTTCACTTTTCAAATTTAAAATATATGTGACTCTCTATGAGTTGGAAATATTCATTCATCTGATCGACAGATTGAAAACATATTTATTTAGTTGAATCATTATAATTCAAGTAATAATATAACTTTTTTGGTGTAAGATGCTCAAAATTATTTATGACAAGTTTTCAATAAATCATGTGAATATTTGATAATAGCTGTATTATACAGTGTAAAGTAAAAATCAAACGTTTATTGAATATAAAACTTACCGCATTTTTTTTGCGATGCCTATTTTTCCTGCGACGCAGGGTATTATTTTTTGTATGGTGAGCATCGGGACCGAGAATCGTTTCTTCCAACAACGTTGACGTTGAGTTATTGAGCGGAGCACGCGATCCTCTGTAGAAAATGACAACGAACATGAAAGTTAGTACAACATTTTATATCTCATTTTATGTAAACGTACTCCATAAGATGTACTTACGAGGCTGTCAAAGAGGCATTTTTGGACGTCATGCCGCCAGGCAGAAGCTTGTGTAGCGCTGTTTCTGAGATTGAGTGCTGCGACAAGTCTTGTGTCTCGAAGCTCGTTGCCATTTTGATCTGTTGAATACACGAGACGCTCCACGGTCGGGGCTCATTGGCGCGGTTGCCCGTCTTTTGGCGCATTACTACTTTTGGCGTGCTCGTTTCGACTGGTTTGCAAGGCGAGGCAGCTGCTGCCAATTCGTCTGTTGCATTGTCTAGAAGTTCTTCGGAATTGGATTGAGATACGCCGCAATGCACTCGGCGAGAAGTGGAAACGCTGCTTTGCACATCTTCTTCCGAAGTAACCGATTGCCTATCGATGTCGGATTCACCGGTTGTATATTCACCGCTGGCATCGCAGCTATCAAGGGACTCAGAAACCGTCAATTGGCAGTACTGAAAAATGAAATTAAATAATTTATTTTTTAATAAAAATGAGGAAGTTTCTTGTTTGGCTTTTATTACAAAAATATTACAAAAAGGTACTATGCTCGTCCTTGTCGAATTTAATTTTTTTGCAATTTTTTTATAAAAAGTGCTGTTAAGATCTCACCTGTGAAGTGCACGTGTCTTCGCGACAACGAACCGAGTTCAGGGCTAGCCATTCCTTGATTCTTTCATACTTCTGTTTGTGATTTTGTTGATTCAGTAGGCCACATTTATTCTCATTAAAGATAAGCGAGGGAACTCGACTAGACATCTCCTTCCCTTCTTCACGCACCAATTTCTCGACCTAGAAGAATAGTGTGTTTTTTTTATTTAATGATTTGCAAAAACTGTAAACAAAAGTCCTGAAAAAATATTAGGTACTAATTTTTTAATCATAAACTCGAATATGATTGCATTTGTAAAATTAGCTCATAGGTACTTCTCATGATTTTTCGATAACATGAGGATTGCAGAAAATCTGACATCATAAAGCTTATCAAACAACTCAATAATATTTTGTGAATAAATAAGCTGACATTGCTACAAGAATGTGATCAGATGGTAATTGTTAAAGTTAAAAAAATTGCACCAAATTCATAAATTGGAAGCGACAATGCAATATAAGAGCGTAATCATCGGACCCTCATCAAAGTCTCATTTATTACTTTCACTTCTGACGTACAGCACACATGTGCAAACTTGCATACGTCATATGGGTGCATACGATGCGAGTTTATTGAAAAAGTCGGCATAATCAGAAAGCGTCGATCTTACCTCTCTGATGAGTCTTTGAATACTGTCCTTGTCGTTGCCGCACTCGTCATCACTATTTTTATTCGCTTCGTTGTCGGTCGGTCTTTTTACGAGATTGAAATCATCGCTTGACTCGAGCTTTCCGTTAATCTCATCTGCATTATCGCCATCATTGCCGTTACTCTTGGTGTTGTCCTCCCTATGCTGATGTACATCGCCTACCTTACCAGATGTGTAAGTCCATTCTTCCTCCGACGAATCATCGGCGCTTGGTTGTAGGACTTGCTGATTATCGTCTTCGGAAACCGCATTACTGTCGGCCTCCGAGTCCGTATCCATGTGCTTGAAGTAGAAGGTGGCGCAGTTTTTAGACTTCCGGTTCGATCTACGGAGGTGGCAAATAAACAACAGAAAAAAAGCAATCATTACTTGCTCAAACGATGTAGTCTTTTTTGCAAACAATGGTACGTACTGATCGTATAAGATCATTATAAACATTCATACACGCCGAAGAAAAAATCCCACAGAGAAAAATAAATTTTTATTATATCTTATTTATTTAGTCCTCCGAGTTGTAATAATTATTTAATATTATTGAGTAAAATTTTACTGGTATTTTTTTCGTATATTATGAGAAAGTGTTTGATATCAAGAATGCAATGAAAGGAAAAAAATCGACATATGTCACTTACGTGTTGAATAGACCGTCTTGAGTATCCGGCTCAGTGCGACGTCGTTTGGGACTGTCATTCGAAGTAATCATATCATTAGATTCGGGTTTTATTACTGAGTCGACTTCGTCGGCTGGGTCATTATTGGCTACTGGCACAGGATCGAGTGAAGGTGTCATGTTGCTTTGAATAGGCTGTTGTTTTTGTCGGTCGACTTCCTCCTCGCTGAACCCAGCTTCTTCGATGTCAGCCTCGGCCCCTTGGTCGCCGAATAAGCCTAGTGAATTTTTTTTAATACTATTATTGACGTCGTCAGCAATATCTTTAGTGGTATTTGGGTTATTGCAACTTTTTCCTAATTCTTGATTTTCATTCACAAGGCACAACTCGTCGATGTTATCCTAAAAACAGAAAGTATTTTTCAATGTTTAGGATTTTGTTTAAATATCATATTCGCACTGGTCATATGATTTTTCAATAATTCTGCAGAAACGTCTACATAATTTTCAACTGAAAACTCACTTCGAAATAGTAGCCGCCATCGTCGATGAACCGATTTTTAGAGGATGCCTCACTATCTGATGAAGCTGCTTCAGTCGATGCAGCAGTTTCGAGCACGGGTCGCGGACTCGAACGCGCCTTCAACTGTCGTCTCGAACGTCTGCGGACCAGTTCGTTTCTGCTGTTAGTTTCCGATGAGCTGCCGCTGGATGGACCAACGTGACCACTGACGCGGCGGCTCAAGCGTGGCTGCTTCGGTACCGGCTCTTCGTCGTCGCTATCACTGCTAGAGCGGCTCGATGAATACTGCAAAAACCATTGAAAAATAAGCACGTTAGAGCTTTATAATCATTCGTTTGCTCATATTGTCGTAGCTCGCGTAACTCGCATTATTTTTTCTCACGAGCCAGCGCATTCAAGTGATTTTAAAATTTTTTTTAATAAAAAGCGATTTGGAAAGTTATAATTTTTTAGTAATCGTATCAAACTCCGATCACGTATTGTCGTGAAAATATGCTAATCATTACACAGTTTTGAAAAAAGTATTTTCATAATGACTATTTACGTGGTAAATAAACATAACAAATTATCAAAAAAGAATATAACTATCTTTAAAAATACGACAACATGAAATAATAATTAATGCAATATTCACAAGTTGATTTGCGAGAATAGATTTATATCTTATGAAAGATGGGGCTTGGATGGCATGCAGATATTAGTAATGCGATTGCAGCGTGCTTGTGAATCATCTCAATTATCGATATTTGTAAGTCGAGAATGAAAAAAAAGTTTTACCTCAACTAGGAAATAATATAATGGAAAGCCTTGATTTGTTAGTACTGTTTTTTAATTAGATAAGAATGCGTAATGTCATACATTTAAAATAGTATATACTTGAACACATATACATATTCAAAACAATCAATTATAGGTACTATCAGAGATAAGAGTTATAAGTACGATTACATTTTGAGATACGCGTTACTATCTAATCAATGAGATGTTTATTAAAGTGTGTACGGCAACAGAGATTAGATCATCTAATCAACTCAATATATGAAAATTTGAAGACTAACAATAATTCTAATAAAACATGCATAATAATCAAAGTAAATCAAAGCTTAATAAACTCTACTGATGAAAGTAAAATTATGCTTTTTATGAATTTTCATCTGGTTCATTTTTTAAATTTTACTGCTGCAATGGCCCTTAGTTTCTAATTAAACCATAAATTGACGAAAAAAGCTTATTTGCAATTTGGCGTCATAAACTTGAGTATAATAGAGTTTTTGTTAAAAGAGCACTTGTGACTGGTAAGATCCTTATAAAACATATTTTCCTTCTGTAAGACTCAGTCATAAACCATTAGCGAACCATCGCAGCTACATTCTGGATCAAGGCAAAGGATACAAAAGTACCCTACGCGCAACTCTGAAAGTAGAATTGTGAAATCCCCGGCAAAGAGAAATGAAACAAAGAAAAAGATAAAGAAGACATTGCAGACAAGGCATAAATTCACCGTAGTATTGGCCCACTTTCGCTGCTACGTTTACAGTACACTGCATTGGCGAATAATAAAAATATTACGTGACGTTGCACATTTTACTTTTTCTAAAATAAAATTCAAAAAGATACATTTGAATGATGATTTCCTTATAGAAAATATAAGACCTATTACTTGATACAGACAATAAGTTGAAGTCAAATAGTTCTCTACCCTTTGACATAATATACAAAAAAAAAAAATACAAAAACAGAACTTTAGAGCGCAATCTTAACTTCATAACAGTTCAAAAATTTTAATTCTGTATGAATTAACGCATTCACATGCAAGTAAACGTACATCATTATTACACAAATCAATTTATTAATTTTATTTATAGTTAAATTTTTGAAGGAAATGTTCAACAATAAATTATCTCCGATAATTTTGAGAAAAATAAGGAAATAAAAGTACTAAAATTTTAGAGTTTTATTGTAACACTTTTCATTGTATTACTTTTTTTTATAAAGTCAATCATTTCCGAATAAAAAATGAGGGAATTTTTATATCGCTGCTCAGTATAAATTCGCTATTTTAGAAATATAGGGGCTACATAAATATCGCGGCAGCGCATTTTTTGAATGGGAACCCTCCGAAGGCAAGACAAGGTAGAAAATCGATCTTGAAAAAAAATTTCAAGTCAAAAAATCACGTATTTTATATTTAATTGCAAAATAAACAATGTTAATTTTTATTTATCACAAAAATAACACCCGATTTTGTAAGAGCATACCCAAAAACCCCTGGGTATGGATTTTCAAGAAAATATTTTAACTTTATGTATAATTTTTTTACAATGGAAAATTCATGCACAAAATTGCATTAGTGGGTTAATCAGCTGGCTATGTACTTCATTATACCCAATAACTTATAGTACAAAAGATGATTATAAGATACTATAAAAATAGAAAGAAACAAAAATGAATACTTCTTAGGGTATTCGTTAGTTAAACTTGACAATTACGAAAATTCATTACTACGTGCTACTAAAAGAAGGGCTAATAATAGGTAATGTATATTATAATTCAGAAGCACCCTTTTTTGTAGATGCATGTTTCTTAAGAAGCGATAAATGGACTATTGCATTGAGGGTACAGCTAATTAACAATAAGCAGTTAGTAATCCCTTTCGCGTTTTATGATGTACGTCAGACATTTATGATGATTTGACGGCATATTTATTACTTACCTACTAAATTTAAATCAATTCAATTAAGTAACCTAAACTATGAATAAAAGTATGACTGTTTATTGTTTTTCTAAATTTATTGTCATTATGGTTATGAAAATTGAAGAATAGTTTTTGGAGTTTATATTAACCAGATAAATTTGAATTTATAAAGAAATGAACGTTAATAGATATAAATGAGTCACAAAAAGCAATTGAAGAACAAGTTATTACTCCCGCAAAGGCAGCGGAAGTAATAGAAAATCTGATAAGTCAAAACAGTGTGCGCAGGCTATGAATTGTTTACCGGAAACGCGTCAATTATATGCAAATCACACAATGCTGATGATCGTCTTTCAAGATAAATGCGTATGTTGACCCTAAGTGTAGATCCGGAAAAAGAAAGAGAAAAGTACTGATAGGCATATTCTAATAAAAATAACTTTACACCGGTTCCAGCGAATATTTCAAAAAGTCCTAACACGAAATACAACAATACTAAAGACAAAATTCTTATTTATCGTAAATATTATAAAAGTACATGTGTATTTTGCTTCGTGCATGAAAGTTTTCTTCGCTATAAGAGCCTCAGAACTTGTAATGGATAACAAGCAAAGGTATTTGCAGAAGAGGAAGTGCGCGCACGATGATGAAGATTGAGGAAAAGAAAAGCTGTAAAAAAAGGTAAACTGCAACGTTCTCTCCATTAAACAATTACGCGAGCAAGCGTCATTTTTCCAAGGCGTGGTAGATTTCCGCGCAGAAAGTGTATAAAAGTATACATGCATTATAAATAGGATCGCGTGCACCGATAGGCAACATTCACACTTGTTTACGCCAGTATAAAAGGGTTCGAAAGAAGCAAAGACAATTGGCGTTGCAATTCGAGCGCGTGAACCGTGAACCCACATAAAATTGAGAATATTACTAAAGCAGGGGATCGTTATCGAAAAATTGTTCTCAACCGCTCATCTGCTATTTTGCGAATCATGTTTTGAGTAACAGATTAGTATTGAATTACTTTATCGAAAACATTGCTAAGTTATCGACGTCGAGGTAAAAGTAATCTTAGAAGTCTCAATGATCTAGCAAGAAAGAAAAACATCACTCAGTTTTTATTATTTTTTTAATGTGACCATAAAGATAGTAATTAATACTCACAAAAATGATTAGGTACTGCAATTTCTCCGATCAAGTTTTCATTTAAAGGCAAGAAAAAAGTAAAAACTATTTGTGTTATATATTTACTCTTTCAATTCTATTTTAATACTCAAGTTCAATGCCTTTCTCGTACTGCATGCCCATATAAAACTTGTCTCATGATCGGTTACTACACTAAACTCGATAATTAGCTTGTGCCGTATCGATGTTAGTTTTGAGCCTTCAAAGCTTCTCAACGATTAATTAGCATACGTAAGTCTCTGCATTGATCTACGAGATTTACCTACAGTGCAAATGAAGCACGGCGTAACTAATTTTTACAGCCAAGCTCTGCCTCTGAATGAGTACAAATCGTAAAAAGAAAAATCACGATGAAAATGCCTTTTTGCAATAACCTCAACAAGCAATTACTCGAAAATTATTCAAGACGCTAAAAATAATGAAATTGTTTTCACGTAAAGCTTTGTTGCAAGATCAATATTAAGTAGATAAATTATAACTATAAATACGCGATAGTGTATATATTTACTTATATAATTCACCTAAAAAAAATTAATGATATTAAAATGAAGTCAGAGTGAGTACTCAATGTATACTTTACACGTGTTATTAAAAATCCTTATAGCTAAAAAGCCTCAAATTTCATCTGGATGAATTCTGTTAATGTACAATTAAAGAATTATTTTCTCTTCTTCTTTTTCTTCTTCTTAGTTGAAAAAGATTAGAATAATATGTACAATTGTTTTTTGAATTTAAAGAATTTTTTATTCTATTTAATCATCATTATACGGTTAAAACTTACTAGAAATAATTTATTTTCAACATTTATTAAAATAAATGCCTTAGTTTGATTCATTTATAAACAATTAATTTTAACTGAGATAGCTAAGTTCTAGCAAGGGTCGATAAGTGAAATTTGAATTTAAATACAATGGTAACTGATTTTTTTTATCATATTTAAGCTTGACCGTAAAAGAAACCACATTTTTTCTGGAGACACAGTTTTGAAGTAATATACATAAAAAAAAGTAATTTATTACTTTCGAGCATTTTTTTATTCTTGTTCGTGTAAACACCAAGTACAAAAAATAAACAATGACTGTCTGGTTTCCCTGCTCATAATGGCTTCGCAGAATGTGCGCATGAAAAATTGAAGCTGGCAAAAAATAGGGTGTGACCTGGACATATGAATACAGTAAAAAGTAAGCGGAAAAAGAACAGCGGTAAATTAATAGCAGTTGCAAAATGTTGCATGAACTTTTAGCAGCATGTTTAACATACTTTTCTGACTCAGCATTATGGTTTTTAAAAAGCAAGAAGATTTTTCATACGAAGTTTAATTAAAATATTACTACAAGGTAATGATTTTTTACTATGTTGTTACACCTATAGATAGACAATAGTAGAAATATTGTCCATGAAAAATATCGAAATGGAAAGTGTTGCTCGAAATTGTTTAAGGCCTTGGTTCATGTAAATTTTACACGACATTCATGGTGTATGCAACTTACGAAAATTTTTCATTCGTTCATGTTCCATTTACCTACAAAAAATGGTAGACAAGTTGTACCCGTGTGACTGAAGCAAGTAAGCACAACAACGACATAAATTGTACGTAACTTTCTTTTCGCGCATTGAACATATGCATATAAGTGTTAAATGCTTCCATTGAGTGCTACTAAAATGTATCTTGACATTGATAAAGTATATTACTTCATTAATCGATCACTTGAATATTTTCTCGAAAAAAATCCATCATTAAACAAGTCTTTTGTCAATTTCACTTTTCATTAGCTGCTGATTTTTTAGCGGCTTGTTGTACACCATGAGCGAGCACAATTCATCATTTAAAAATTTTTTTTGGTATATCTGAATCTCATACTTTATTCTTGAAATGATGTGTCAATATTGCATCACACTTACAAGCAAAAGAGTGTTCTTTGGCTTGTATCAGACAAGTCATTTCAAGCGATCGAATGTTTGGTAGCTTTTGCTTCAAAAGTTTAATCAATACCGCACACCTGTGAGTCCTTATAAAATTTTGCGCCAACATCGAATCGCGCAATTGCATGACTTTACTCATGTTACACAGCAATTTGTCGAAAGTGCATCTGTCGCATTACCAATTAAAAAAAATCGAAAAAAGAAAGCAGTCAGGTAGTCCGCAAATGAAGGTAGCATTCATAAATCATACTATTCCTAGCGGCTCCCGAATAAAACCGAGTGAACCTTTTTCGCGGATACACGAGTACGTATAGGGGCGCTTGCAGAAGTCGAGACCGCAGCCGATCAATCCTAGCAAAAGGGAAGTTTGAAAAAGTCGAAAGTCATTTTGCACGTGTGCAGTGAGTTGCAACATGGAGCAAAGGAGTCGATGCCCTCTCGCGCAGTAGCTACTACTAGTAGCAGACTCGACTCTCACTATATACATTTCCCGCTTTTCAACTGTCAAGATAATGCGGCTCGTTAAAGCCAAAAGTCTGCGCGGTAGCCTATGCACATGCAGTTAAACGTGCGCTAGAAGTACATCAAGTCGGCGCTCTATAAAAACTAGGCTCGTGCTGCAGGGGAGTCCTACAGTAGTCGCGTTTCTTCGGTATCTTGGTTTTGCATGAATAATAATTAGTTGTATGGCACACTTGACTACGTTCTCTCGAAATTTAAATGCAAACGTGCAATGCGCGTTATTTCGTTAGGATAGGAGCATTCGTAAAGCCAAGAGCATTAAGCACGTAGATGGGAGAGTCAACAAACAGCAACATTTTTGCGATAGTACGATAGAATGCATCATGGGTAGTTTCTAAATCGAACCAAGTAGTCAAGGGCAAACCACGGCTAGCGATGAATCTGTGAAAGTTATTTTGTCATATTTTAGCCCCTAAAGAGATATCGTTCTGCTTCGGCGTACATCTTTATTCGATCCTGATGTATAATAGAGAAATGCCGCCATTAGAGCATTCATACGTCCGTATGTGCATACATGCATGCATAAGGTTTATATGTACAGCTTGATTCGCTTGGCGACGGGATAATGATCGGTCTCTGCGTTTGTTATTGCACACATGCTCTACGCGCGCGCCTGTGTATTTTCGAGTGCAGGCAAGATAACTAATAGGCCAGCAGCGCCGAACGTGCACATTACCAAGAGGCAGGTATACGCACGCGCATCGGAACCGGGGCCCTAATGCACACCGGCGCGTTGTGTGTACGTAAATATGTATACGCTTGCTCCCCTTTTACAACCCGCAGCTGACTTCATTGCTCGCTTTGTGGCCAACGCGATAGCGCACGAGAGGAGGCCGCGCATGTATATGTGCACGCACACTCCGGCCCTTTCATCGCGTGTATCCTGTTGTCGTAACTATATGTGCGCGCGTGCCATAACGCTTGCCGCTCGCCGCATATTCTCGCGCATGTATATCATTTATTTTAATTCTTTGCGTGGGCGTGCGCGCCTACGAGTGCGAGGAATTCGACAAGACGTCACAAGAAAAGGTGGTAAATTTTCGCGGATGCCTACTCGAACCTGTAGCTCTTTTCAACGTACCCAGCAGCGACGCCGATTCTCTTTTGCATAAAAGCACACCTTTTCTCGAGTATCGTCCGCCTGTCGTCTGCCTCCGCATTTACTTTCTACACGTAAAGTTACTTTCTTCCCTGAGGTTTTTTTTTCAATGATGCGGTTTAGCTGCAGTAATTCTAAAGAATATATCAACTCTCCATTGCAGTATCATGCATGTAACGAGAACATTTATTCTTCTGCAAGAAGACAAGTGCAAAGGCGTTATATATAAAAAATTGTACATGAGCATCGCCCGCATGTATGCGATCCTTTTGTAGAAAGTCCCAAGCTGTGCCTACGAAGCTTACAAATATATCTTCTAGCGCAAGTAACACGTTGGTAAATTGCAGTGATGGTAAGGACAAGAGAGCTGGTAATATTTTCACGCTTCACTGAGCGGTATGATCGTTAATGGGAAAATTATTTGAGCGAAAATCATGTGCCACAATACCTCATTACGAAGAAAAAGTTTATAAGTAGCACAAACATTGGTTAAACCAAAGCGAAATCAAACATCGATGGGCTTATTACTCAGCTAAAGCATAGTTCTGAATAAAAATTAGTTTATTGTAAACAAGACGCTTTGAGAGTGATAACTCTGACGCGTGTATCGACGAGTAAATCAATGCACCCGATAAAAGTTGAGTTAAAAAAAAAGGTTGGTATTTGCTCACCTTAGAGCGAACCCGCTGTGCCAGAGCCTCAATGTGACATTGCCACTCCAAAGCGCGCAAAAAGAGAAGATGCCAGCGACGTTCGAGGGAGCTGGCAACCCGTAGAGGTTGTTGCTGCCTGTCGCGCTGCTGCTGCTGCTGCTGTTGCTGCCGCTCCTCGTCGCATCGATTTCGTTTTTCTTGAATTGCTTTGGCCTCCGCTGCTGCGACTCGCTCGCCGAGTTTAACGACCGAGCTCACTATGCGCCCATGAGCCTCGATGTCCCTTTGTAGTACCTGCGACAATGAAATGCAAACATGAACGTGAATCATCTTATCACTATGCAACTGAAATATTCTATTCATGGTATTATGAAGAAACAAAAGATAATGGCAACTTTTGCCACGGTGTAACATATTTTATAGAAAACTGCCAACTAAGACTCGTACGGGACTATAGCTTCGGCGGATACCAAAATTCCACGCTTTGCTCTTGAAGGACAATAGGTGATTTTTCGATTGCGATTTACTGCCTGCTACTGACATCGCTGCATGGTGCGATGTTGTCGCAAGCCGGAAGTCAATGGGATAGCTGCCGAGAGAATATACACTTTTGTAACCTGAGCGCGTAATTATGAGTTTGAATCATACATCGCCATTATGCAATTTTTTTTGCACCATAGCATCTGGCGAATAAAAAAAGCGTACTTTTGATAAATATCATTAACTGCGTGGTATGATATACAAAAGACGCGTTCTTGGGAAACAATATTACAAAACATATGCTATTGGAACCCATTTTTTGAAAATGAGTTTTAAGCTCTAAGTTCAAACTTATGCCGTCGTTTAGATATTTATGTACGGATAAATTTATGTGTAATCCACAGGTATATGCATAATCGTAACAAAACATTATTTTATCTTCTTGCATTGATCGCAGGTCATAAATTTTTTTCGGTGTATAAACAGGCAATGTAAGAGCATTCATGCACATGCTATTGAAGAGCATAAATCATTACCTTGCGCCCTTCATTTACTTTGTTCGGAACCGTACATAATTAATTTATTAATTACTTAGAGCTACTGATCAAAATCTTCCATGTTACAAATTAATCTTTTACATTTACGAAACTTAATATTCTATTCATCGATTGTTTCGATACAAAATTTTACTGCTTTTCTTCGGAGAAACTTTGGGATTAGCGTTAAAGTGAATTTTGTAATCAAATATGTATTTTGAATCAAAAATACAATATACCATGATGTTTTGGGGTAAGACAATTGCCAATAAATCGGCAATGGTGTTTTCTTTATGCATACGATCAGGTACATTGACCTTGAAAATATGTTTGAATTGGAAATAAATAAATTACGTCGAAATTTTTCGATTATAAAATCAAATACTTTCTAGTTGGTGTTAGACATTGGTAATATACGAAACTAAGTAATTAACAAAAATTCAGGGGTGCAAACATGCGCAAGTATAGAAGCGAATCTCTCTCATGGCAAGCTTTGATAAATCCACTAATCGATCAATTTCAAGGTAATAAACGGTGCCGGCAGACTCTTGCAATAATCGTAAATTAGTCGGTCAGCGCGCTCAGCATTAATAACTATGATCCGTAATCTCATTACACTTGCGCATGTTTAGACGCAGCTTTACGTTCTTCGCGTTTAGACGCTGTTGTTCTTGCACTCCAAAACCATAAATGAAAGACATAAATAAAAAATTGCCGATGGAAAGCGGCTTACGAGCTCAGGACGTAGTTTGTCTGAAATCGAAAGCTCGCGCTGTGACGGCATTTTTACTCGTCAGACAGAATGCCGTAAGTACGCGCTGAGATGTATGCGCGAGACTGTGAATTATGAGACTGGGCGGTTCGGAGGCCGGAGCTTTACGTCGTGCATGTCCAACTTTCACGGGAATCTGTACGATAATTGCAAGGATAGATCCTCCACGTGTATAATCGGCGCGGGCAACCTCCTAACGGAAAACCCATCAACGAACCGTCACTAGCTACCTCCAGCAGCTAATCTCGACTTCTCATACTCTTATTTTCCGTCTTCGCCAAAGCTACAAGAGCTCCCGCCGCATGAGCACAACGATATATTCATATTCAAGTATATATTATATGCCGTACATACGTACATTTATCTGCATGCGACCATCAGATGTTAATAAAATCCACCGTGAAAAAAATCCACTGTATTTTTTATCAAAGGGTTGACAATTTATGAGGAGTTTTTTTAGATCGATAATACTACTGCATACGGCTTTATACCGGGTAGTATCTTTTATTCAAACGCATTTTGAAGCATAACGACAATTTCAATTTAAAATTTTGTGATTATATCTTACAACATGAAAATGATAAAATTGAATTAAAAAATATAATTTTTATAAAATATAATTTTACGGTATAGTATCTGATTTGTTTATTAAGTCATTACAGAAAGTAACATTCTTTAGAAACAAGTTCGTAATACGTAAATTTTAATATTAAAGGAGTCACTTTTAAAATTAGAATTAGAAGCTACCGACCCGCATAATGGACTATTTTGCCTCTTTCTTACCGTCAAATCAGTGACTCGAGCGAACCAATTTATATAAAAACATCGAGAAAAACTTTCTCCCTATTTTCAATTGACAAACATGCAATTTCTAATTTTCATTTTGATTACTGCGATCGATAATTATAATTAAAATTATATAGCGTTATATTATAACTTAAACTTAAATCAATGACGAGATGACGTTATCATGAGTGTAAACAAAATGGTAAAAGTTATTTATGAATTTTTGATAAGCATGTCCGAAAAGACCACGCAGTTATTTGACGCTTTTTTCATGTTGGAGCTTATCAGTCTTTGTCATCATTCAATACCGAGAAAACCCTAGAGTACGCGCGCTGAAAAAAGTACATAAACTTCACATGCTTCCGTGTCATTTGGCAATCTCTCACCTTTTCTTCGTGCACATTTGTATGCTCAGCACTATAACACTTTTTTACCTCATTACCCTACGAGGGGAACAAAAATGAACTTGTGAGTGATTTCTGTTCGAAGAAAAGTTTTGCAGTTGAAATTGAACAAAAGGGAGAAACTTGTAATGACTGCAATAAAATAAAAAGCAACAGTATCAAAATAATGTCTATGATATTGTATTTTTCTGCGGTTGTATTAGTTGAAAATTGAACTGAATTTCATGCGACTTTGCTAACAAGAATCCTCTGAAAATGTATTCTAGAAATATTTTTTTCCGTTCTTTTAATAATTCTATGTTGATATTCTAGTAATCATTTTAAAGTCATTTGATATTATTCACAATGGAAAGAATATATCGATAGTTTTATTCTAATTATTTTAAGTACATAAAATTAAAAGTTATGAAAGGGCAATTTCACGTTTTTGAAATAAAAAATGATAAAAATAATAAAAAATAATAAAAAATAATAAAAAAAAGCATATCCGTATGGTGAAGCATACTACGGAGCTTGCGACAATTTAGCAAGCGGAAATTACAAGATCTTCTACAATCAAGTAGGGTAATTTAAAATTCTAAGTACTCCTAAGGGTTGAAATTTTTACCATCTTGATCGTCATGCATCTCTAGAATATTTTTTCGTTTTTTTGCGGTGCAATTTTTATTTCATCTCCGAAGGTATAGGTAAACGTACCATCTTCGATGCGAGTGCCTTACTTTTATGTAATCATAATCACAACCGGTTGGAGCAAAGCATCCTACGTAACTTATCATTACCGATGATCAAGTCTCGCATGTGAATGAAACCTATACACTCAGTGTATTTATACCCTTTGAAAGTATCTAGATTTTCGTGAAAGATATATAAGACCAAGTTCTACAGTGCTCCATGAAACATAAAGACGAGATGCGTGTAATATAATGCGCTACAAAAATATACCTTTCGCGCGTAATTGCTTCATTTCACTACATTTGTACGATTCTTAGATATGGACAAGCGAAGGTTATGACACGTCCGTACACGATTTTATATTGTTTATTCTAGTTGAATAAAATTGTTCTAATATTTGTTACCTTAAAAAATTGTTCTTTTGTTTACCAATCAAGATTGACACGACTACGAAATTATTAGTTTTTGATAATAAAATGAAGTTCGCTATAAATATTTCTCGCTATAAGAAAAGTAAAATAAAACTCAAATTTTACAACACCTTGAAATATCGCATAATGGTAGTATGGGAGTGATTGATGTAAATATACATGCATACGTAGTGTAAATAGGTGCATTATCTAGAAGAACATTAGACATCAACTTCCTGTACAATCCATAGAATCCAGCTAATAACGTGCGTGGTACTTTTGCATATGATGCGTTAAAAAAATGCAAAATAAGCGTACATCTTCGAATACTACAATTTTCGAAACAAATCGAGCTTGATTTTTCCCCCTCGACGGTTTGAATTAAAGAAAATACTGGGCAACTGAATTTAATTTCATTGAAAGATCAGTCGATAGGATAAGTTTATTTTGTGCGAGTGTCGATGTGTTCTGGGAGTAAGTAAGAGATGGCAGCGTACGCCGTAATAATTATCCCTGGGCTACGTGTGTCGCGATGCTGTTCCAAGTGATTGTCCAGGTATTTTTACCTTCGTATTTATTGCCGGCGTAGACCCTTTGCATCCACGGAATTTCATGTATGTGCTTTTCGTAGCAATGTATACATTGCTGAAGAATTCGCGCTTATATGCAGATCGTAAACTCAGAAACATGTTTTATTTAGAATATAAGGATGAAATTCATTAATAATGGACAAAGATGAAATCAAGTCCAGTAAAGGATTTAGTTTGTACTCTATGCATTCGTTTATGCGATCGAGTCACGTTCGATCGGAAATTCAAATTGGCAATTCAGACTAACTGTTCCGTAAATTGATAAGATATCGTCTCATAATAAACTTTCGAGCTCGAATAAAGAAGACTCAATAGATGCTGCAGCGAATAAGAAACTCGCGCTCTTCTAGATATCAGTCATGCATGCACGGGCAGACGGCGGGAACAACCTCTGATGAAATCACGTGCGAAAAATGGCCTTCGGATCGTTGTAATTTTCTATTAGCTTAAAGAAGCTCGATAGTTCCTAGCTGCGCGTGTACAACAAGTTTATACCCGTCGGTCGATGTACTTTTCTCCATAACTTTGCCATGTACATGGGAAAAAATACCTATGAGATAATAATAATGATAATTATAATCGCGCAGAGTGGGGCTTCGCGAGCGCGTCGCTTAATACACAGCTGTGAATCTTCATAAGTAATA